AGTCAAGAGATGTAAAGCATGCCAAGTACACGCCAACATTCCCCACTACCCACCAGACCTCCTAACATTGGTGATGAGCCCCTGGCCTTTTCAACAATGGGGTTTAGATATACTTGGCCCCCTCCCTACGGGNCATGCCAAGTACACGCCAACATTCCCCACTACCCACCAGACCTCCTAACATTGGTGATGAGCCCCTGGCCTTTTCAACAATGGGGTTTAGATATACTTGGCCCCCTCNATTGCATAAATGCACTAGAGTCTTATTTAGTATAAGATTTATTTTAATATAATTTGAAAAATATTATCAAACCCTAACATTTTATTTTCTTCTCTTTTTATGTTTTAGTTTTAATAAATCATCTTTAGTTATGTTTATTGGTAATACTAGAAACCATTTTATTTGTATCAATTAGCAATGTTACGAATATATTCAGTCTCACATTAAATTACTTATCACAACTTAACTTTTTAAATTTGTTCAACTAATTGTTTATAATTAAATGACCAACATAACTTAAAATAGTTCGTTTTCATATTTTTTATAATTTAATAAGTGTATATGATACTTTTTAGTTATATATACCCACATATTATAAAACATATTTGTACCATTACTATGATGTTACAAATAAAATTAATCTAAATAATTAACTTCATGTGAAAAGTTCTAAAATTTAAGGATAGAGGTTTACAGTAAAGTAATTCATTAAAATTTAAGAGAAAATAAAATAATAAAAATTAATATTCGTTATGGAAATATGTAGTGTTATGTTTGTTACAAATTACACAAATTATATAATAAGAATATTCAAAAGGCTATATTTTATAAGTAGGTATTTGCTATTATATTTATTTAATTATTTTAAAAACAAAATCATAACTTAAAAATCCACGTGCTTGTACACGATTTAGTAAAAGAAAAAAAAACCCTTAAGAAGAGGGTAAGACTACAGTACCCTTGCCGTACCGTGCCCAAAAAGTGATCCGAACTATTGATTTTGAAATTAAATAATCTAAAACCATTGATTAAAAAATAATATAGTAAGAAATTAAGAAAAAATGGCATATGTGGTGTAGTACCAAAAAACGTATTTCGATACCGTATTGTCCAAATAATAAAAGAATAGTACCAAAAAATGTTTTTCGATACCGTANATGCATATGTGGTGTAGTACCAAAAAAACGTATTTCGATACCGTATTGTCCAAATAATAAAAGAATAGTACCAAAAAATGTTTTTCGACACCGTAACACTCCCCTTAAAAGGGTATCCCCGCCATTTATTTTAGTATTAAAATTCAAAACCGAAATCACCTCACATATTCAAATCGATATACATGTTTTCAATGTGCATTTTTAAAAAGGTTTCTTGTAAGTCGGTAATTAATTTACCACTTAAATGTGAAAAAAGTACTCAGTACAAATATTTTGTATAAAAATAAATTTTTTATGACAAAAATGTCCACAAGATAATAATTATATGACACAAATAGTGAACAAGGAAACTGTTATAAATCATGCAACAATCCTATTAAATTTGACAACTACTGTATCCCTCAAAACATGGACTTTCAATTTTTTAAAAGAAAAATTCTGCTACAAAATCTTTCAATTTTCAAAAAAAAAAAAAAAAAATTAAAGCATCATTGAAGATTGATCTTCCTTCTGTTCTGATTCAAATTGTCGATAATGTGGCATTACAATGATACATGATAGGGTAACACCTTCATTAGCACTTTAATCATTGTTGTAAAATTATATTTATTGATTCATACACAATTTAAATAGTACGCATCACATAATATGACATCCATATATATTCTTTTTAATGAATGACAGTGTTATAGTACAATATAATATTATAAAGTGATATTATTGTTAGATTTAAGAACAATCAAAGTCGTTTAACATTAAAAAATAATATAAAGAAAATGAATTTCAAAATCTGAGTCAAACTGTTAAGGTATATTCTATGTGATATAATTTTGAATTTCAAATATATTTAATATCTTAAAATATGAAAACATTAATATAATAAATTAATCTCAGAGAAAAAATGGGACTTTCAAACTAACAAGCTTCCAAAATAACGAAAATAGTATTTGAGTGAAAAAAGTATTTAAAAATCTTTTGATGAGTACCCAATTATAATATATATCAAGTAAAATGTAATTATCTACAAAAGATTTTAGTCAAGATATTTTCTTACAATTAAATAATTTAAAAAATACTTGCTCACAATTTTTCGTTTTTAAAATCCAATGTCAACTTCGAGTTAGTTTGACGTAGACTAATACAACATTTATTCAAAAGTTGGTCACCTAATACATTGCTATCATATATTTAATATTGAGATACACATAGTCTCACTTGCAAAATTACAACAATGGTCTAAATCATTTAAATCTAACAACGGTACAAATCATTTTTTTTTTCAATTTTATGGTTTAAGGAATTGGTTAGTCGTCTAGTAACAAGAAAACACTTTAAAACTTTAAATTAAATGCTTAAATTAACTATGAATAACATTTTTTTAAGTAATGTTACATAATTTAAATGAAACTTTAAAAATTTTAACCTAAATGTATATAATTATTTGAATGAGCAGGCCTCATTAACTTTTTCAATGAAACTCAATCGTCCCGGAGATAATAGGTATTTGGGTTGCCATTTTTTGATTGTGTAGCATTTTTCAAAAGAGTAATGGTATATATCATAAATTTATAATTCAAATTTGTATTTTAAATCAAAGAAAATTATTGGATCAGTGAGTCTTATTTAAAAAAGTATCCTAATTGTACTCATATTTCATATTTTAATGAACACACAATTCTCGTAACATTGTAACCATTAAAGTGATTTTGTAAGGGAACTTAGGATGAATTATATATGAAATTAATATATACATAAATATGATATATAACTATATAATAAAATAGCTTACAATTTAAATCTCAAAAGATAAACAAAATAACTTTTGTTATTCGTGATTGAAATCACTTTAAATTTTACTTTAAAGTTCATCTAAAAGTGTGTTTAAAGTGACTTTTTAAAAATACTTCTAAAAATTATTTCTTATAAATATTTTTTTTTTAAAATAGTATTTGAAACCGCTTCACCACTATCTCTATCACTGCCATTGCCGTTGCCGCCATCACCACCCCTGTCGCCACCACAGTTGCCACCACCACCACTGCTACCACCACCGTCACCACAGTCGCCGCCACCACCACCACCATCGCTGTCGTCGCCACTACGGTCATTGTCACCCACCACAACCATCACCGTTTCTTACCACTACCACTGCCGCCCACCATCTCTCACTTTCACTAAAAATCGATGTTTAAATTTCTTTATTTATTCTTCATGTTTGTGATTTTGAATGTATATGAATACAAATATGTTTATTATTTATCATTTTTATTAATTTGTGCCTTCAGGCACATGCAATAAGTAGTATGTATATATATCATATATATTTATATATATTAAAAGAGATATAAACAAATAACATACATTTTAACACACACAATTAATTTTTAATTTATTTTTTTTTCTAATTTTAAAGAGATTGTTTTTGATGAGTTGAAATTTGAAAGGAAAACTCATCTATCCACTTTTTTATCTTTCTTATTTTTCTTTCTTACAAAACATGATGTTTTATCTATTTCTTAAACTTTCATTCTTTTCAACTTTTTATTATTCTATTTTTTCATCGTACCAGACGAAACATAATGGTTTGTTTGTTAGTAAGGATGAAAAATAAAAAGGATAAAAAAGTGTATGAAATAAATTTGTCATCCATAAAGAAAAGAAAGATGTTTTCCTTCTTTTTTGGTTGTTAAGAAGAATGAAAAATTATAAGGATAATTTTTTTAATTATTTGGTATTGGATGGAAGTAGAGTGTAAAGAAAGATATCTATATTTAAATTACTATTATATCCTCACAACAAAGCTATGCATCTATACATTACCTTCTTTTTTTTTTTTTCCCCTTCGGTTAATGCGTCATGAAGGCACGCAGAGGACCAATATTTGAGGAACATCACACTAATTAAAAAAAAATTAAATTTTGTTCTATATGTAAGTTTGAACTGATGATAATATTATAATAATTACTTAAAAATGGTAGAAAAGTTAATTTAATCTTCGAAGAACTTTAACTTTGTCCCGGTGAGGAATGGTTTTTGGTGGGCGAAAGTGGTATCCTTTCCCTCCCACTTTTCGTCCTTTATCTTTGTCCCGGTGAGGAATGGTTTTTGGTGGGCGGAAGTGATATCCTTTCCCTTCCACTTTTCTTCCTTTATGATTTATCATCTCAACCAAATAATGAAAATTTAATTACCACTAATTAGGACGATTTAGGGGGGTATCGGCCTTATTCCTTATTTTAAAGTTGGGAGTTTGAGTCTTAAAATTTTTATTGAAACTTAGTAGTTGACCGTTATGCTACTTTAACTAAATCTGGTCCTTAGAGGTGTTTCAGGCGCGATTAGAGATTTTATGATCCCACCAATAAAGACTTATCAGGATGGTCGCTGGACGTTTTTCCTTACTCCCACCCCTTTTTTTTCTCAACAAAAAAAAATGAAAATTCAATTCATCAATCATATTTTTCTCCCTCACCTTTCTATACATCCTATTTTCTATCATACCAACCAGTTCTCAAGTGAGTGCGGGAGTGTGTGTGTTTTGATATATTAGTGTATATATTTTTGATATATTAATGTGTGTCTATTAAGAATTTTAATTAGTGCGGGAGTGTGTGTGTTTTGATATATTAGTATATATATTAATGTGTATTTATTAAAAATTTTAATTATTTTATGAGTTAACAAGGTTAATCCAACCGACTATAAATTTAACCATTCATAACTCATTTAATATGCGAAGGAAAAATAAATTAAATTTGTTTAAACCCAACTCAAACTCGATGTAATTCAACCCAACTTTCCCATTTGAAACCTCTACAGCCAAGCATGGCCACTCATTGACCATTATTAATCTTCATCCACCCGTCAAAGAGAGTCCTAGGTAGTCTCGAGAAACACTAGGGCTTGTTGGTACCTGAAGACCCTAGTAATAAGGAGTTAAAGTCATCAAACACGGACATCCTCGGAGGCAACCTTTATTTAGCAAAAATAGCTTTATTTCCTCGGAGAGTTTATTCATAACACCAGAACCCCCATTAATGGCTGACCATCAAGCTGGAGAAGTTCTCTTGGTGAAGCCCAGAAGCTCCAATGATGGAGTTTCAGTGATACTGCGAATCATTCTTCTGTTGCTTCTTACAGACATAACTCTGTCAAGGAGCATCATCAAGACTCTTCCTGGCTTTTCCGGTGAGCTACCAGTCAAGCTTGAAACTGGGTAAGCCTTTTTTTTTTTTGATGAAAGGATAATCACAAACACTTACACTTAAAAAGTGTAAGGTCCATGACATCCATATAAACTCTCGCACACATTCTAAGACTCCTTTTATTTCTTCATTTCTAAATAAAACCAAAATTACACTTCCTCCTCCTCTCTCTCTCTCTCTCTCCAAGTATGGGTCCGATCTTTTTTTTTTTTTTTGGTGTTTTTCCTATTGAAGAGGGGAGATACAAACGAGTAAAGGATGGCAAAACAGAACGAAATAAAACAATTAAAGGGGTTCATCCAGTACTACACAGAGTAGAGTTGTTGTCTAGATTAACCTTTGCCTCTAACTGCATATGGGTCCGATCTTACTTTGCTTTCACGATTGTTAAACTTCTCACGTTACCCAACTTAACCATTCGAACCGGTAACAAACTATCTTAGAATTAAAGACATAGTAGAGGGGTCAAAGTATAACTTAATTCTCTTTTATACTTTACTCTATTCGCATCTGCTTAATTTCTTTCATTATTTACTTTTTTTTTTTTGGGTGGTTTAAGTTATGTTGGAATAGGAGAAAAAGATGAGATCCAGTTATTCTACTACTTCGTTGAATCCGAAAGAAGTCCGGAAGACGATCCTCTCATACTTTGGCTGGCGGGTGGGCCGGGTTGTTCTGCTACTCGTTCTTTCTTCTACGAAATCGGTACATTCATAACATTTGTTTATTAAATTGTTGATTTGGTAATACACGTTTAATTTGTCTATTAGGGAAAGAAACTTTTTTCGAAACTTCATTCAGGCACAATAGCCTAAGGTGTCGGGAACGGACGAGCTATGAACTATTCGGCCCGGTAACCAATGAGCCATGACGTGCTGACGATCGGAAAAAAGCATAACCTACCCGTTGGTTCAACCTGAATGGATTTTAACGATAACCTTTGGATCTAATATTTCAAAGTTTTTTGATATATATTATTTTACTTTTATTGGGTCAATGCACCAGGTGCGAGTCAGATCATCTCGCTGAGCCAATGAAAACTGGGGTTCCAAGCGACGGTGTTAAATAGGACTCAATCAAAATTTATTAAACATAAATATAATATATGATTAAAATTTTATTTAAAATTATTATTGTTTTTTATGATGTATAATTAGCACTTAAATTTTTATATTTGAGTTTTGCTATTATATTTTTTTCAATTAATAATATGGCTAATTTATTCAATTTTTCTCATAACATTGTTGATCGGAAGTAAGATTTTATGAGTTTTAAATGTATTTATATTGTCAATAATATTTCAAACTAAAAATTCGTGTGAACAAAATATATTTGAAATAACAAATAATTATACTAAGAGAACAATCTAATATGCTACAAATGTCAATAAGAATTAAACAATAGCACTTGACAAATTGAAAATGTATAAGTTTTGAATTGATGATTTGTTTGCCTCCAAAATCATCTACTATTTTAAACCATCACAATAAAAAAAGAATAATTGCATTAAATTAATCCCATTACAAAAAAATTAATAAAATAAATTATTAATCAAACAAATATATACCTTTTCAATTTTATCTAGGTAATGGATTTTTAAGCTTTAATCGTGAAAAAATAATTTATCTTTTTTTATAACTTTCAAGCCTTTTGACCATTTGAAAAAAGTTAGAGAGATGTGAGTTGAGTTCTTGTTTTAGTCCGAGACTTTTAAGAATTTTCATAAAATTGGGTCTTTTAAACAAATTGTTTTTTAGCCAATTTAAATTATACTTAAAGCCTCCATTATTATTCCGGGCTCTCTTTTTTATGGGGCCCTTGCTTAGTATTTCAAACCTACAATCATTTGAAACATCCTATTATGATAACTCTATGGTCCTTTCTATCCCAACTATTGCGACTGGTTTAGAAGGTCAAATTATTGGGCCAATTATACATTGTAATTTGAAATATTTTAAAATTTTGATTTTATACTGTCAAAGATTAAATTTCTTATATTACACCCTTAATGTATCAAAATTGTTACAATGTGACATTTCTGTTAACTTTATGTCGGTTTTTCTGTTAATTTCAATAAATTGACTTTTGATGAAAAAAATAACGGAAACTAACAGAAATGTCACGTTGTAACCCTTTTGATACATTGAGGGCGTAATATGAAAATTTTAATTTTTGAGGGTACAAAACTGAAAGCTTGAAATCTTTTAAAATACAAAGTACAAAAAACCCCAAAATGTTTCATGTAATTGCATAAGTATCATTTGAAATGACAATATCAATCTGGTTAAAGGATATTTTTGAGATACCTTGTCATGGTAGATGCTTGAAAAAAGTTTTTTTCTTGATTAGAAATGCTTGATGCTTTTACTTTTGTTTGTAGGCCCATTTAAATTTGACATGTCTAATTTCACTGGAAACCAACCACCATTGGTGTTAGCCCCAAACTCTTGGACAAAGGTAAAAAATTTGAAATTTTCTTGCTTAATATAAAATATGCAAGCAAAGGGTGAAAAAAAAAACCCCTCTAATTTGTTGTTATAATTTTGTAGGTTGCCAGCATCATTTTCATAGATCAGCCGGTGGGAACTGGATTTTCCTATGCAACTAATGCGGAAGCTTACAAGACTAGTGATAAAAAATCAGCAAATCAAACTTATGAGTTTCTTCGAAAGGTGAGAGGAATATGTTTAAAGAAGGAATAACTATCCTTTATCCCTGGTAACTATGAACTCAATTTTACTTTGTTACTTAAACTATTGATTTTTTTTAGTTAATAATACTTTTAATCTCTAAAGTATATCCGTTTTATTAGTTTGGTTCTCGTTGTATTAATTTTTTAATTTGGTCTCTAAAGTTTTAATTCGTGTCACTTTGGTCCCTAATCAGACAATTCATTAAATTTTTTAACGGAAATAATCACGTGTCATTCTTTCAAACGGTATCACTTGACCAACACGTGATCATTCTGATAAAAACTTGATGGTCTATTTGTGTAGAGACCATTTAAACAAAATTGAATACTTTAGGGATTAAATTAATAAAATTGATACTTTAAAGATTAAACTGACAAAACGTGCAAATTTTAGGAACCAAAATATTATTAACCCTTTTTTTTTTTTATAAAATTGCCTCCTCGAGTACTTGAATTAATTTCACACTGAAGGACATAATAATTGAGGCATTGTCAAATTAATAGCATTAGTTGAAACTATAATATGATTGAAGCATTGTTCTTTAAAGAATGAAAATGCCATCATATGAATTTTGGTATGAACAATTTATATATTAAAGAGCATCTAAATCACGATTAGGATCCTGAAAAAATAGGATGAAATAGCATCGACGGGGCTTGGAACGAATGCCTTTCTAGCCCCAGCGTACCAAGGGAGTCGCCTATGTTTGTGGATTACGTTGCGATGTTCTTTCTAGCATATGTAGGTTTAATTTTGATTATTTCTAAAGCAAACTAATAAATAGTTTTTTTTAATTTAATTTTTTTTTTTGCATTTGTGACGCAGTGGCTGGTGGATCACCCCAAGTTTCTCAAGAATCCACTTTACATTGGTGGTATTTCCTATATAGGAGTTGTCGTTCCAGTCCTTGTTGAGGACATATACAATGGTACGTACTTACAGTCATGGATACCCCTTCATGTTGAAGCTAACATTTTTATTTGGCATATAACAAGTTTTTAGTATATAAATTATAAATGATTAAGGGTAACCCGTGTTTGAAAACACGGTGTACTGTGAATGATTTTGAGAGGGATGTTGGTAGCCGTTAGATGAGTCTATTTAAGATCGTCAAATGTGCTTATTGAAGTCTGCTCTATGTTATATCATATATTTCAATGTGATTTGCCAGAGTAGAACGCCAAATCTCTTTGTAGTTTTGGACCAAATTAATACCAATAGAAATCCCGTTAAAAAGTGATCGTAGATCAATACTAGTATACTTGTCAAAAATAACATTTATAACTGCTCTTTACTTTTGTGTTTATCTCTCTCTCTCTCTCTATAAGTATACACATATACTTATTCCACAGAGGTAAATATATAATTTATCCTTTTTTAACACAGATAAGAAAGAATTCCTATTTTTTTTTCATTTTTTTTAGGATTGAGCTTTTATAAATACAGTTTTTTTTTCTAATTTTTTCCTTTCTTGTGTGTGTAGGTAATGAAGCCGGAAATGAGCCACAAATGAATATTAAAGTACACATCCTATTTGAATTATTGAACTTAGTTTTTATTTGTTTATTTTTAGTACTCAAAAGAATGGAATTTGACTTTATGCATTGGATATAGGGATACATACTTTGCAATCCTCTAACAGATAGGAATGGAGATGTTAATTCAAGAATTGACTATGCTCATCGTGTGGCACTTTTATCAGATGAACTCTATGAGGTAACTTACAACTATTTTAACTCTGGTTTTGAAATTTATATATAGTCTTTCTTGAGCTCTCTATTTTTCTCCAATCAAATGCAACCCCAAGGGCGGACCCAAGAAAAAAAAAACACCCTAACCATCAGTAAATGATAGATAGTACATCTCATTTCACATACAACTAGATTTCTCACATTATACCTTCAATATATTAAAAGTGTTGTAATGTGCTATTGAATTAGCTTCTGTTGCATATTTCATCTGACGTTGATGAAATAAATAACATAAGCCAATGAAAGGATTATATTATAATATTTTTAATACCTTTAGCATGCAATGTAAAAAATCTAATATTTGAGGGTATAAAATAATTTTTTTTTATATCTTTCAATGTGCAAAATGCAATTCATCTTTTATACTATATATAGGTAGATCAACCAAAATATTATTTGCTCGTTAGAACTACGATTATCAATTTTATCCGATACCACGCATATAACAAGATAAAAATTTAAAAATGAGACGATCACTTGTCATGAATAATAAATTGGCGGGAGTTCTTATTAGAAATCAATTAAATTTTGGAATTTATTGATCTATTATTGTGTGAATCATTTTAAAGTTAAATAATTTTTCATGAGGTTTTACCATGTTTAATGGATTTGGTTGACACGTGCAATGGTACGAGCATACCACGAGTCCAAAACGACTCCCCACTTAGTATTGCAATTTTAGGTTATTCTTTATTTATAATAATTAACATTGAGTTAGGTTTTTTATTGATTACATAGATATGATTCCAAATTAGTAATGTTTTGTGGAATTCTTTTCAGTCAGCAAAGGCAAATTGCAATGGCAACTACATAGAAGTAGATCCAGACAATGGATTATGTGTAAGGGATTTACAAGAAATAGACAAGGTAAGCATTATTCCTAACTTGGCTTTCATAAAACATGTTTTCATGTATGTTGGATAAAACAACACTATTTGCATCTAATTTGAAAAACTAATATGAGGACATGAAGTATTATGTCTATTGGATTAACAACGAGTTCTAGTATTGAATTAACTTTAATATCAATCCAATGAACATAATGCATTAGGTCCCTAAATTATTAAATGCTCAAATTAAGTAAAAATAACATTTATTGTATACAATATGTACATTGAGCATAATGGTGTAAGGATCTTATTTTGGGGCTTAAACTCATTGTAGTTAATGCGGATTGGATCTAGATCAAACCGGAATTCGAAAAAAAATTCAAGTTCCAAGTCTGATCTATTTATCCGATGTATTTCAAAATTTTAATATATATGCATCTATTAATAATCGGATATCCGATCCAATCCGAAATTTTGAATCCCAATAATTTTTTTATAAAAAATTAATAATTTTACCAAATTTACTTTCAGCCTAATTTAATCAATCAATTTATTCAATAATTTTTGTTTAATTTGATGTCAATCTCATTAAATCTAACCAATTATGTATTTATATACAATAATTTCTCTCAATTAAATATGTATGTATGTATGTATATATGTATCGGCTCGAATTTATATATATCTAAATTTAAATCCGTTTAAAAAATTTAGTCAGATCGAATCGAATTCAAGTAAAAAGATTAAAATATTAATTTATATTCAGTTCAATAGACTCAGATGCGGAGTATAATTCACTCCATTAAGAGGCTTAATTGTAATTGTTAGATTAATTGTGAGTTCAATGGTATACGAAACTTACTTTTAAACTAACAGCTATAATTGATTAAGTCCATTAAATACCTAAATTAAAAACAAATAACCTTTTTTATATGCTTGAAGATGATCAACCTTTTTGTTGTACAGTGCACCGACAGAATAAATCAAGAAGAAATTTATGAACCCAAGTGTATCCAAACGGTGGACAAATCGAAATTGTTGGGATGGGATAGAAGCTTGTTTGAAGCGAAACCCATGGAGCTTCTCTGGTCAATACCTCGAAGTCCCGAAGACTGGTGTCGGGTAATTCTCCTCCTCCTCCTCCTCCTCCTCCCTCCCCAAGCATATATATTTTTAGGTTAATAGCATTATTGGTCATAAAATATGCATTTTTTATCACTTTAGTCTTCAACGTATCAAATTTATAAATTTGGTTCCTAAAACATTCAATTCATTTCATTTTAGTCCCAACATTGACGGACCGTTAAGTTTTTGACGCAATAATCACCTGTTGGACACATGATGTCATCTAAAAAATGACAAGTGATCACTTTCTTCAAAAAATTTTATTGTTGTCTGATTACGGACCAAAGTGATACGAATTGTATACTTTAGAGACTAAATTGACAAAATTAATATAATGAAGACTAAACTGACAAAAAATACATATTTTAGGAACTAAAAGTGTTATTAACCAAATTTTTTTCAAAAAAAATATACTTTGTCCCTCTTAATTATGGTTCCCGTCTCACATTGCTCATTTTACTACCATGTTTTCTACATTAGACCTTCAATCAAGGTTATTGGTTTTACATTGTCTCAATTATTAATGTCCATTTCAAATTATGAAAAGTTTCTCACTTTTTTTTGACACGTTGACTTTTCCATTTAAAAAATAATGAAAGTTTGTTGTTGGGACAACGTAAAACTAATTCAAGTAGTTTACGGAATAATGTGAGAAATTTAATATTTAATAGACAAAGTAAAATTAAAGTCGTAGATAAGAGAGTTAAAGTATAATTTGTCTGAATTTTAGTGTGAAAGTTATCAATCTGTCCTTTTCAATTTTTTTTTTAATATCTCATTAATTTGTTTTTTTATTTTGTGTGTGGTGTAGAGCTATGTTTATTATTATTCTGTCATTTGGGCTAATGATGAAGCTGTCCAAAGTGCTCTTCACATTCGAGAGGTACACATTTTAGTATATTAATTATTACATGTGTATGAAGGTATAGAATAATAAAAAATAATAAATAATAAATATATTTGTATTCATATTCAAAATTAAAATCGCAAACATAAACAAGAGATAAAATAATTTAAACATCAGTTTGTAATCGGGGTGAGAGAGTGGGCGATAATGGTGGTGGTAGGAGACAGTAATAGTTGTGGGGTGGTAGTGGCGGCAACGACGATGATGGTGGAGGCGGTGGGGGTGGGGGTGAGGACGACGACGGCGACAACGATGGTGATGGTAATGGCGATGGTCGTGACGGTGATGGTAGCGATGGAGGTGGTGGGGGGTGGCGGTAGTGGAGGTGGTGGTGGCGACGGTGGGGGTGATGGCAGCTGCCACGACGACGGTGGTGGGGGTGGCGGCGGCGGCGACTGTGGTGGGGGGTGGCGGCGGCGGCGACGACGATGACGACAACGGTAGTGGTAGAGGTAGTGTTGGAGCGGTTCAAAACAATATATTTTTTTTAAAGTACTTGTAAGAAATAATTCCTAAACACATTTTAAAAAATCACTTCAAATATATTTTTAGGAGTCTATTTTTTCTATTAAATTTAGAGTATTAATATTAACCGTTAGATTAACTTTAAAGTAAAATTTAAAGTAATTTCAATTGCGAATAACAAAAATTGTTTAGTTTATCTTTTGAAATTTGAATTGTAAGCTATTATATATATATATAATCAATATAACAATCGACTAAATTCATTTCTCTTTTACTACCATTTTTTTTTTCAAATTTTTTCGGTGTCAAATCAATTATTTTACGTTTGGGCAGGACTTGTTAAGTGGGCCGTGCTTGAATTACGACGGTTGATTTACCAATAAAATTTGAGAAAAATATGTTGAAATGTTTCAATTTTTAATTGACAAACCAATTGATTTATTATGACAATCAGGGAACATTATCAGCAGATTGGGTTCAATGCAATCTGACAATAAAGTTTTACTATGGTAAACCTTCGTCGGAATCCTACGCATACGATTTGCCCGATGTAGTTGGCTATCATCGAAATCTAACAAAAAGAAATTGTCAAGCTTTAATACTCAGGTAACAATGTTCTGAATCTATATTTTTTGCTTTTAATGAGCATTTGCTTTTGCTCCACGTTTTGACCTATAAACACATAATCATCACAATAATTATAGGGTGAATTGCACTTTGTACTTATTAACGCTGACGAAAAAATTAATCAAAAAGATATTTAAAGGGTTAAATTATAACACTTTTAATATATTGAGAGTGTAATATGAAAAATTTAATTTTTAAGGATATAAAGTGAGAATTTTAAAATCTTTCGAGGTATAAAGTGCGAAAAGCCCATAATTATATTTCACTTCAATATGTTTGTCATGTATTTGAACTTAAGACAAATTATATTTTGATCACGGAATCTATGCTAACTGTTAGAGGTTTTAATTGAGACGAACTATTCGGATTCGGCTCAGATACAATTCAACGCGAGATCTAAAAGTGCCGAACTTGAATAATTTTTTAAGTTTATTTAGAAAAACAAGCTCGCTAGATTCAAGATCAAGCTCACAAAATTCGGCTCAATTAATGCGCCTACCTACTATTTCACATTGTCCCCTCAACAACAAAGGGCATCATGTTGCATCCTCAACTACAGCTATTAACTTCAAATTTCTCCCTCAACTATCACATTTCCTCCGCTGTACATCAAATTGCAGTGACTATTTTACATTATCCCAATTATAGACCTTGAAAACTTGTATTCTACTTTTTCATCCAAAATATAACGAACATTTTATTTTGGAACAAGGTGGAACGTGTTCGAGTAATTGATAGCATAACGTGAAAAACCCAATAATCGAGTAGTCGAACGTTTTAAAATGAAGTTTATCCTTGAACTTACAATTAACCGTTTTTTTTCTCTCTCTCCATAGTGGTGATCTAGACATGATCGTTCCATATCTAAGCACAGAAAAATGGATACGTTCTCTAAATTTGGCAGTTGAAAGTACATGGGAACCATGGTTAGTTGATGGTCAAGTGGCAGGGTTAGTCCCTAAACTTTCCAAACTTTTTTGCTACATAAACTCAATTTAAATTGTTATTTGTTGCTAACTCTTATTACTATAAATTGCTTTATGCAGATATAGAGTGGGTTATGCACACAATGACTACTCCTTGACATTTGCAACGGTGAAGGCAAGAAATCCAAACCTCAACTTTTATCTTAAATGATTGATATAAGGTCTACCAATAATAGAATTTTCATTCAAATTTGATTTGAATTTGGTCGGTAAATTATAGATTGATATTTTTAATTTCTTATTTAGTTCAACTGTTTATGATCCGGTACGAATCATATAAACATTTACATAAATATACACTAAAATTAACCTAGAACTAGGGGTGCAACTTGGGCGGGCTAATCCGATTTTAACCTGAGTTTAACTCAAAAAAATTAGAGCTTGGACTAGGGTTTTTAATACTTAGATTGAGTTTGGATAAAAAAACCTCTACTTGAATTCAATTTGAGTGGGCCTAGGATTGAGCCATCGGATTCACGGGTTGAACGCGAATAATAAAATTGGGCTCAACCCAAATTATACTATATAAATACAATTTTATCCTAGAGTTAATCTCAACTCAAGTGTGTGCCTCACTCACTCTTAGTCTCTCTCAAGGATTCTGGTTGTGCAAGGATTTTGTTTAAGCAGTGAACTCTATGTTTGTGCAATGATTCTGGTTGTGTTTATTTGTCTTATGTACGGTTGTGGTTGCGTTATTTCAAACATTGAGTTCCTAATATTTTGATTTTTATGTTAAAAACTTAATTGAAGTAACTCGAAATCAGTCTTAAATTATTAACCCGAATTCAAGCCGAATTTGTCCGAATTAAACTCGGGCAGTGCTCAGGTTGAGTTTCTCAACCCGAGGTAGGGTTAGGATTAGGGTTCGGATTAAAGATTATATACTTAGAGTTGGACTAACATTGACTGTCCAACCCGTTCGAATTATACCCCTACCTAGAACCAACCGTTTTGTGCTTAAAATTAGCACAACAAACTTGAGGTTGTGGGTTCGAAGTTCGAACTAATGAGCATTAAACTTTGATTTATTTTGTGATATGTGAAATATATAACTAGAATGAACGATCCTTTTATTCAGTTCACCTAAAATGCCTATGTTTAGTTTTCTAGACTATAGCTTAAAAAATGACATCAATTAGGTACGGACGAATTTATAATCTGAAAGATTTAAAAAAATTTATTTTATACCCTAAATAATTAAAAATTGCACATTATACACTCAATTTATTAAAAGTGTTGCAATATGATTATTTCATTAGTTTATGTTACTTATTCCGTCAATGTCAATAAAGTGAGTTTTGTCAGAATAAATAATGGAAGGTAACAAAATGACCACATTAAAATATTTTTAATACATTGAGGTTACAAATGTGAGAAATTTTATCTTTGAATGTACAAAGTGAAAAAACTTAAATTTTTTTAGGTGCAAGGTGAGATTCCCCCATTAGATATTTTACATCCAATCGGATTGGAGTTTTTATTCAGATTTGAATTGATCGACATCCAATTTCGGATCCGATCCATAAATTGAAAATAGAAGTTTTAATTATCTCTTCTACCCTTGTGCAGGGAGCGGGTCACACATGTCCAGAGTACAAACATAAACAATGTTTTTCCATAGTGGATTGGTGGTTTTCAAATCAACCTCTTTGATCGGAAGTTGCAACTTCAAATTGATTCAGTCATTCTTCAAATCTCCGTCGGCAAATAAGGGCACCGGCGTTTTGCCGGTGCACAACCTGATCAAAGTCTTTTTGTTTGCCGACAATTGTTATGATGAGTAAGCTTATAAGCATTTTGTGTAGGCATTGCTACTGATGTTTTATGTATTACGAAAACAATATTTGAATGCTAGTTATTGGCCGTGTCTTTAAATAATAAAAGAAATTGTCAATCTTATACATTTTTGTATTCACGTTTAAAATTAAATAACAACATAGAAGAGAAAAAAAGAATTTAATAATTGATTGTAGTGGGTGTGAGCGGTGGTAGTGATGTTGGTGGTGGTGGTGCGATGGTGGCGGGGTGATAGTGGAGGTGAAGTATTTTATAGAGAAATGATTTTAAAGTAGAAGTTATTTTTTCTTTTTACTTTTACTTACTTACTTAGTGATAAGACTGTTTTTGACTTATTTGAAAGTAATTAAAATAAGTTATTCTAAACACTATTTTTTTTTTTTAATTATGAGAAGTCATAAGTCCTAAAAGCACTTTTAAAAAGTACCCCAAACCAATGTTATCATAATCGGACCGATCATCGAACTAGTTAAGGGATTGGGTTAACGATTCACTGGTTCAATCGGTGGGTCACTGGTCGGACCGGTCATATAATAAAAAAATAAAAAAATTAATATATATATAATAAGTATAAACACATAATAATTTAACTAAAAAAATATAAAATATGTCTAAAATGCATACAATTTGTCTTAAAATTAATGCATACACTTTGCATAAAATCCATAAGGACAACAAATATCTCAATTAATAATCCTACAATCTCAATTACCGCTCCTACAATCTCAATTCACAATCTTAATAGTTCACAGATAGACAATAATATCACAGTAACATCAATAATAGATAATTTCAATTGTCCAATAGAACTAAGCAACAAAATCACCCAACAATCTGCAGAATTAAACACCAAATAATTGAAAAAAAATTTGCCCATCGAATCACAGAAAAATTTTATCTTAAAGGGAGGAAATGAGTTCGCTGGGTTCGAATATCCCTGGACCTTGGTCGCAGATCGCTGGGTTCAAAGATCCCTGGCTGGACCCTGGTCGCTGATTGCTGGGTTCGAAGATCCCTCCCTGCTCCTCGGTCGCTGATTGCAATGGCTGATGCTGCTGATCAGAGTTGAAGTCACTTGAGGTTGAGGCCCTGATGTCGCTGGAGCTTGGTGATGGTGGTGTGGTGCCTTTTCTTCTACGATTTAGGCCAAAAAAAAGCCTCAAATCCTATACAAATTTTAATTTAATTTATTTATGCAATTTAATTTGTAAATAGGTATTAAATTGTCTGGTTTTATAAAAACTGCCAATTTATGATTTTTTATAAAAATCGACCGATTTTTCAATTTATAGCTGCTTCTCTACCTTAAGCAGTCCAATTAGAAAATCGGATTCGTCAAAGCCCCGATTTGAGGTTGAACTGGTCTGACCGGCCGATCCGGTCTGGTCTGGTTCTAATAACAGTGCCCCGAACACAACCTCAGGAGACATATTTTCTTATTGAATTTAGAGAGTTAATATTAACAGTCAGATTAATTTTAAAATAAAATTTAAAACGATCTCAACCGTAAAAAATAAAAATTATTTTTTATTTTATATTTTATTATATAGATAAATTCGTTAGGAACGGAACTGACATTATGGTCTAGATGACATGACCCTTGGAAGTCTTGAATATTAACCTTGAATCATTTATTTTATATAACTTTTTATTTATCAACCCCTGGGCAAGGTTTTAAATTTTTTTTTTTTTTAACATTTTGTTATTTTCGCTTTCATTTTGAAGTTTTTGATTTTGCCCTAGGAGTATCTCCAAGAGAGTAGATAAAAACACAAAAACTTCAAAATTTAGCTATTTTGTTCTAAAATTTCCCTCAAACAGAATATCTCAAAAGTATTTAAAATAAAATTTTACTACAATGATACTCTATATTTAGAGTATCACTGTAACAATATGTATAAATTCTTTATAATATTTTATCTATCTTCCTTTCTTTTCCTCCATTCTCTCTTTCACTATTCTAAAAAAAATAATACAAAAATAATGATAAATAAAATTTAAAGAAAATACTTAAAAATATAAAAAATTTGTTGCAAGTATTGAAAAAGCGAACAACTAAAATAAAAAATATTATTTTTTGAATAGCTAAATTAACTTCTATTATTTAAGGTGATCTAAACATACTAGTAATCAATCATTTCAAAACCCAATTTTTTCCATCTCTAGCATGCCCTTTCTCCCCCAAAATGATATTTTGGATTTTATTCTAACCTTGTGTTGTTGTAAACAATGATTTTTTGGATTGTTGGAGCAAATATTGTCTTAAAAGAAAGCAAGATAGTAACTCTCTTTGAAACATTCTCTTGTCTCTTTCATCACACAAATTTTGCACCAACAAGAAGTTGTACAAAAAATAGAAATGAGTAATAAACATACTATCACCAAACAATCTATAGGCAAAGTCAATGAAAAAACAAATATAGGTTAAAAGACACACATCTACCATCTGAGACATTAATCTTTGTGTGTGATGATGTTTTAAACCAGGGGATATGAGGAATGGAGACTGAAGAGCTTTCTTGTGATTAGTGTACAACATGTTTGTTGGTGCGTGAGTGTGCGGGTAAACAATGAATCAAGAGCACAATATTTCTAGTGGCTCACCAAATTAAAGAATTTGACTAATTCATTTTAATGGAATCTCTTACTCTTAGAGTTTCGTATTGCTTAGAGGGAGAAGAAGAAAGTTAAAGATTTGTGAACATAACTGGCCTTTCTTTCTTGGAGAGCAAGGGTTTACTTTTATATCCCTACCTTAAACTGGTCTCCCGTTATCTATAAAACACGGATACGGATATGAAATACAGGTACGATATGATATAGATACGGCAATATGACAAAGTTTAAAAAGTAGGATACCGGTACCGCTAAAATACGACAATAATAAAATATATTTAATATTTTTATTATTTTTAACCAACTCAATACTTATATATTTTGATAGTTCTTTAATATACAATAACAAAAATTAGTAATTTTTTTAAATTTCAAGAAAATATATATCGTATTGTTGTAGTATATTCACTAAGTGAAGTGACTAATTAAAAGAATCAAAACTAATATTTACTTAGTATTTAGAAGTAATTTTTGGTAAGATAATAATGTAATAATTTTATTTTATGCTCTTTTGATATGTAATTATAAATAATACTTAAAAAACACTCATGTACCTTTGAAATAATATAAATTTTTTATTAATGTATTTTATGGTATGTGAATTCGAAAAGAGATGTTAAAAGTTTAACTCAAAAATTATATATGTTGGTCGACCACAAAAGTATTCGTGAAGTATTATAATATTTAATTATTATCGGATATGTACAAGATATATTCGATACGTATCTTCGAATATCCGACGTATATCCTATCCAATAAAATATTAAACACGAATACGTCAACCTCAACGAAATATCTGTATTTTATAGCCTATCACGGGGGTGGTCCTCTGTTTGTTAGAATTGCCGGAGGAAATAGTTTACCGTTAAAAATATTGATCCCCCTTAGTGTGACGTGGCCTTCCAGAAACAACCGTATGTCTGACACTGTCTTTCTGGTTAAGAAGAAGTTTCGTAATTCTCCTCCAAGCTTGTTGGGCTCTCTAGGGTGCATTGTGGGTTCTATTTATTGGGCTGACCTTCCCTGGTCCAAGAAGGGTCGCTTTCTAATGGTTGGATTGGGCTCATCCATGGGCCGCTACCTTCTTTCCCGACAAGCCTAACTTTACTTGGACTGGATCATTTCAACCTAATAGATGTGTCAATGTGGACCCAAGTCTAATTTTAACTTGTGTTTTAAGGGAGTCGGTACCCTTTTGAGAAATTATAGGACATAAAGTACCACTTTTAAAAACATAAGTCCAAAAGTATACAAGCTCTAACAAATCTCTAAAATATCCCCTTCAGTAAAATCAAACCGATTCTTATATTTTTGCCTCCATAATCGGAAATTAAGAGATATTATTCTCGATGTTATGATTGTCCATTCCAATTCCTCCATCTTCAACATCACAGAAAGCATCCGCCTCAATGGAAAGGAAAAAGTTGCAATCTAACATAGCGATCACTAGAACAATCTTCACACTATCACCCCTTTTTCTAATCCAACCCCACCATTAACGTATCTGAAACCTTCCCTCTTTGAAAAATCTCAACCATCAAAAATACCAAAGACCCACTTGAGAATCCACAGACAGAGAGACAGAGACAGAGACAGAGAAACAAAGATGGGTGATGCCTGGTTTCTTGTTTTTCTCTAATTCAGACACCCTTTCTCTCTTTGAAGTTTAAACCCATCAATAATCCCAGATAGGCTCTGCATATGGTCGAGGAATATATTTTATAGAGAGAGAGAAAGAGAGAGAGAGAGAGAGATGAAGCCTGTTTTCTTGATTCTCTTAAGGAATTGAAATGGACAATCATAACCGAAACTTAAGGGATCCCTTAAGTTTTGTTGACTCAAAACTTCATGTTGATCGCTGAATAGGATGTGAAAATTCCTTTGAGTAAGTGATGGGTTTTTTGATGGGTTCATTGTGAATAAGGGAAAATATCGGTATCAAACGGTGACGACCATACCGAAATTCATTGTTGAAGAAGAAGATCGTTATGTTTCTCCCAAAGTTTTTATTTAATCTACTTTTTTTCCCTCAATTACCTTTCTACTTCTGGTGTTTGGTACTACATGTATACCAAGTGTTTAATCATTTGCCAAAAAAAAAAAAACAAAGAGGCCATATATATTGTGACAAGCGTCATGTCAATGTATGCAGTGTGAAATTAACTTGCAGTAATGTGATATTGTTTTGTAGCAGTGTGACGTTGTCTTGTAGCATTGTGACATTATCGTGCGAGGTAGTAAATCATTCTCGAATTAGAANGCAGTGTGAGATTAACTTGCAGTAGTGTGATATTGTTTTGTAGCAGTGTGACGTTGTCTTGTAGCATTGTGACATTATCGTGCGAGGTAGTAAATCATTCTCGAATTAGAATCATCATCTTAATTATTACATTGGGCCATGCATCATGTCAATGTATGCAGTGTGACATGGACTTGAAGTAGTGTGACA